ATCAAAATCAATGAAAGAAAACAAATACGATTAAAAAAAAAAAAAATGTAACAATTGAAAATCAAAAGTATACAAAACACGTGCTACATAAAAATCAGCACATTTTGAAAAAATTTTATTTTGTTTCACTTCATGTGGGAAGATAAAAATTTTTTTTTATTTTCCATATTTACAACATGTATATCATTTTGAAATAAGGGTAAATAAATAAGAAAAGAAATTATCTCATCCATATTTATATACATTACACCATTTCAATGAACAGATATTGTAATAATTGCGGTCTAAGGAGGGGATTAAGCCTCAATATTCCTAAGGTAACAAAAAATTATAATGATATTGATAAATTAGCCATTGGGGGCTTATCAATTAAATAAATTCATGTGTGTAAAAAAAAATTTATTATTTTTTTTTCAAAATTAACAAATTCATTTTAATACAATTATTTATTTATTATTATTATTAATTAGGATTTTTACCAAATTATTCCTTAAACATATATTATTAAGCCTCAATATTTCCTAAATAATAAACAATTTTACTGTGGCTGAGATTTTTTTAAATTAGTTACTGGGGGCTTATTGGTTACCTTTTTTTGGATTTAATTAAAAATTTTTTTTTACGTCTTAAATTCATTTGTTAAAAAAATTTTTCATCTTACATTACAAATTTTTTTAATTTTTTTAATTAACTATAAATAAAAACAAAGTTTGCTGGGCGCTACTCTACTCAATAATGATTAATGGTTAATGAGTAATGATTAATGATTTAAAATTTCACCCAAAGTATTTCCTTAAACATATGTGACCCAAAAAGGGTATTTATTGCAAGTGTTTTGAAGAGCTTTGTATGGGAACTTCATGAAGTACATATATAAAAATAAATAACTACTATACTTTAAATTAATTAAAATAATAACCTTTGCACGCATTACAAGGTATAAATAAATAAAATAGGGAAACTGGAGGACTTGTTTTCTATCCTATGATAAATATGAAATGAAAGCCTTATAATTAAGATATTATTTTCAAGTGAAGCTTTTCCTATACTTTAATAAAAATTTTAGTTTATTGAACTTTAAAGTGATCTCATCCAGACAAAAAACTTAATATTGAATAAGATTACATTTCTGGAGACAGGAAATTCACAGTGCTACTTAAATATACTTATTAATAAAGTTTTCACATAAAACTATCACTAAAATATTATTTTCAAAAAATTACTTAATAAAATAGCCAAATTACTAATAAAATAACTAAAATGCTATCTTGCTAAAGCATTTTTAAGCATTTTTTACATTTAATTTCCAATTTTTTTTAAGTTTAGAGGTTATGGATTGGTCTTTAATAATTCAGATCTAAAACTTATTGAAAACCACTGGGTAATTATTAAAAGGAATGTGGATTTGTATGAGTTAAAAAACCTTAGTGAATTTAAAAGTTTTTTAAATGAAGAGTTAAAAAAAAATTACCAAATATCCTTGTAATTGATCTTGTAAATTTAATATCACAACATGTCAGATTATTGAGAAAAAGGATAAATAAATATTATAATAATTTTTCTTAAATAAATCTACTGCTTCTTGGCTATAAAATGATATATTGTATGTTTTAATTAGAGATGATCTGAACTGAACTGGCCTGGTTCAGTTCGGCTCACATCTTGAGTGAACTGAGCCATGGTTCAGTTCAAAAGTTCAGTTCAGTGAACTGAACTGAACCAGTTCATTTTAAAGGTTTAATTTGAGCAATTTTAACAAGACACTATTGAATATTCATGTTATGGATCATATAATAAACTAAAATTTATAATTTAAGTCTTGCTGATCATATAAATTTTTCAGTTCTTTATTTTTATTAGTATATTAAATACAAGAATTTTAATTTTGTATACAAATGTGAAAATTTTTAATTTTGTATATATAAATGTAAAAACTTTTAAATGTTAATTGCTGTTAAATTAATAATTAATTTTAATGATTTGCCTTTTAAAGAGATAGTGATATTACATAATCATTAAATACAATTCTCAGTTCAGTTCAGTTCAGTTCAACTTAAACTGAACCGTGGTTTAGCAGTTCAGTTCAGGGTACGAGCGAACTGAACCATGAGTCAAGTTGATTCAGTTTAAACCGTGGTTCACTGAACCATAATCATCCCTAGTTTTAATTGGTGTAATAGTTGTATGACTATCACAATTTTAAAAATTGTCATTTTTTTTGCACACCACTGTACATCTACACTACTGTACAACTAAACTACTCTAATCACTACTGAACATATTGTCTAACAATCTACTCTTTATCTTTGTTTCTAAATTCATCCCATATTGATTTACTTTCTTTAACATCTAGAAACCTAACACTTCCTTGACTCACTTTAATCATTGTACCATGCCTGAACTGCTTGACCATAATCATTTTATTTCTTCTTCTGCTTCTAACACTCTTTTCTTACCTTCTTGTATTTCCACAGTAGATTTTTAACCTCTTCTCTTATTTGTTGTGATGTACTAGCTGAGCATGCAGCATTAACTTCTTTGTACAAGAAAACATTTTCTGGTTCAATCATTTTTGTGCTTGAGGTTTCTTTCTCGTCTACTATTTGATTATTTGATGGTTCAGTTTTTTTGATGTTCTAAATTCCCTGACCACTTCTACAACAGTCTCTGTATTTGCATACTCTTTTATTGAAGTCATGACCAGTTCAGGTATTGGTTCTGATGAAATACATTTTCTCATTTTGTCGATGACAGTAGTATTTATCAATATATGGTTAAATTATATATATAGTGATCCCTATGACAGTCTGATAGAATATATTTCAATATATTGTCTTTCCCTTATTACGTTAGAAATAAAAATATCTTCAGCTTTCAAAACATTAATTTATTAATATTCCCTATTCCAAAAATTTAAAAAATAAGATCAATTGTTAAAAGGATTGGTACTTTAATTATGATATAAGTGAGATGTCAATAAGATTAGCTTTAAGTTATAACCATTAAAATTTTATAATTAGACCAGAAATTTTACAAATAATTTTAAATTATAGTGGAATCAATAACAATAATTTAAAATTTTTAAATATTTTTAGAGCAGCAGAAGAAGGGGAAGGGGGATATGAAAGACTAGAAGTAAAATTATTAGGTGAAATTAAGACTAAAAGGTGGTAAAAATTTTAACTTTAACATTTACATAGTGCATTATCTCAATTACTATTTCATAAATAAAATTATTATCTATATTAAATCTATGGTGCATTAAAAGTTTTTTTAGGTTATGACACTGTAAACCATAGCAGTCTACCATAGAACAAGCTTCTCCATTTATTTATGAAGAAATTATTTGTCAATATGGATGCCTAAGCAAAAAATATTATCTGATCAAGGAATGCATTTTAAAAATCAAATAATTGAGCAAGTAATGGAAAATTTTAAAATAAAACATTTATTTACAACACCTTATCACCCAGATAAATGATGTACTTGTAGAAAATTGCAAATTTAACTTGTTCTAATATGCTAAATCATTCAATTCTATACTAACCTTTAAATAATACATTAAATTGATTTTTATAATTTGAAGTACATAATTGAAATCAGAATAATTGATATATGCTATATTAAAAAATGTTGTTTGTGAATCAAAAAATATTCTCAAAAAAAAATTGAGTTAATGAAACATATTAATACATCAATATAAGCATGCAAGCAACTTATCCTAATTAGAAAAAAAAAAACTCTTTCCCGTAGGACTAAAAATTATTAGAAATCCGCAGTAAGAAAAATTAAAATAAAAACAAAAAATATTTTTTTACTTTTTCTTATAAAACACCTAATAAATATGGAGTCATACCAAGGTCAAGAGGAGTTTGAGGAACAACTTTTAAAAGACGTCAGGTCTTTTGTAGGCAAAAACTTCAAAAAAGGGAAAAAAGGACACTTTAGAAAATACATTTGACAAAATATTCTTCAGAACGCTAAAAACATATAGGTTACTAGTGGAAATAAGTGATATTACTGGCATAAAAGGTGAATAAGTAGAAATAATAGCCAGGAGTATACTGAGGTTCGCATATAGAGAACATGATAATGACATTAAAAGAATTGGAAAAGAAAATACTCATCTTTGTTCATGGCTGAGGCAGGTGCAGCAAAAAAATCCAACACATGACACACTCACACACAACTAGATAAAGAAATAGAAAGCGAGTTAAAAACACCAATCAAAAACGTCTCTGAACAAAGAAAAATGCCAAAAAATAAAAAACATGAAAAAAATTTAGTAAAGGAAATTGTACTCACAACAAAAGTTGATCAGGCGCCAGTCCATATAAAATCAAGGGACCAGAGTACAATATTACGTGACATATTATTTTACAATATACCATCAAGGTATGTGAAACAGAAGTGGTTGTTGCAATCAAACAATTAGGAACAGTGCATAGGATCAGAATAAAAAACATTATAAATACCAATCGGTAAGAGCAGATATATCATTATTGGAAGATTATGAGACATTCTTCTCGAAAGAAACGTGGAAGAAAAAAGTTTTAATTGGAAGCAACGAAAAAAATAAAAAAGTCATTAATGTTTGTTGGTTCAAAGGTGATAAGACAGTTAAAGACATAAAAAAAAGTGCAAGTGGAGGCTTATAAAGTAATTCAGATGAGTTACTACCAAGACATAGCAAGAAATAATTATACCTTTGAGTATAGAAAAATAGTGCATTTTTGAAATAAGATGGTCTTGTTAGCATACTTTAAAGATAAAGCTCAGTTGGACGACGCAATTGCTTTGGACGGAAATACGGACCAAGTCTGGACTATTCATGGGAAGTGTCAAGATAATTCGGTGATGAGGCCTCAAAGGGAGGTACCAGCCAGAGCTCTCGTGAGTACGGTTCCAGATAAGAAAAAACAAGATTCAACAATTGTAACACCAGCAGCTGTCAAAGAAGTAACCACGGAAGAGGTGGTCGATACTGTTAATAAATTTAGGAAAAACTTGCTGGATGAACCACAAGTCGAAACAGTTTCAGCTCCATTAAAAGACTACACTTCCCCAGTTAATGTTGTAAAGATAATAAAGGAATATAGAGAAGAGATTTTGGTAGAGCATGAAAAGACGTCAATTAATGATGCAATAATGATAGATCCAACAGCAGCAGATAGGATGGCCAAGAAAACAAGAGTCAATGACAAAAAGAAAAAGGGAGCTAAAAGTGATTTAGCAGAAAAAGTTGTCAAAGATGCGAAAAATCAATCGGTAAGTACAAAGAATAGTGAGAAGATAGTTACGCCTGTGGAGTTACCTGAATACAACAAAGTCAATGCTGATTGTACTAAAAGGCTGGAAAAAAAGAAGAGTGAATACCCATTCATGCTTTCAAATAATAATCCATTCATTATATTGGAGGAAGAGAATTATTTTTAGCCAGGTTTTTGTCATCGGCAGATGATGAAGACGTAATAAAAGCAATCAAAAAGTGTATGAAGAAGAAACAAGGAACATGTAGCGAGGACCCCGAATAATACTGATATAACTCACAAACGGGTTTGCGTAGAGTTTATATGAAATTACTTTTTAAACCCATAAATTGAGTTTGCGTAGATCGGTCAATTTTGGGATAACTCACATATCACGTTTGCGTAGAGTTTATAAATATATTGCATTATATGTTGATCAATTGTATAATATTGATAAAAATTAAGTTGCGCAAAACCATTAAGGATGGGTCCGTAATATATTTATGAAATTTGCAATATTACGGATTTTGGTAATTAATTGTATATAGTAACAAAAAGTAATGCATTTCGCATTATTTTAATATTTTTTAATAAAAAAAAAGTGCGAAATGCACTACTTTAACAAAAAATGGTGAATTTCGCACCATTTTATTAACATTTTAATAGAAAAAAGTGCGAAACGCACAATTTTAATAAATAATTGGTGAGTTTCGCACCATTTAATTAATATTTTAATATAAAAAAGTGCGAAACGTACCATTTTATTAATATTTTAATAGAAAAAGTGCGAAATGCACCAT